CTTTAAATTCATATTCTTAATATGAGATATAACAAATAGATTTCAAGAAATAATGTTTTTCTTAATAGAATACTATTAAAAGATATCAATATAGATTAACTTGGAAGTTTTCTTAACCCATGTTATCCTAAAAAATGTGTAAAACTTTAGATCCACTTGGGGATATAAAGTAAACATCTCAAGGTTGCAATCATCATTTTAATATAAAACCACAAGGTATATGCTTTTATATCAAAATGAATAGAACATGTGTGTTTACTAAGAACTAGTGGGAGCATATTGATATTCCTAATATTGTATGAATGAGACATACTTAATCATGAGAAATCCCATTCTGACCATTCCAGGCCTTTTCACCTCGACTCAGAATGTGTTTCTAAAATGAAAGACTTAGGAAAAACAAGATACATTCTTGGAATGTAAAATCAATAGAGATAGATAAAATGAATGTTAAAAGTTTTATATATTTTTGCATATATGGACAATATCTTTGAAATGGATCAAGATACACAATTCCTTTAGAGGAATCTTGGTATCGTCACATGACACTAAGTTTGATCCAACCTCAAAAGGACCTAGCTCATAGGTTTGAACTAATTGAAATGATTTATATTCGATTTGCTTGGCAAATAAATCCATCATTTATGCCATATTATGCATAAGACCAGGTATATGATCATGTTATGATTTCTTAGAAGAACCAAGTGAATGTATAAGAGATAACTAGTTTAGAATAAAATATTCATGTAATGAGCTACATAAGATTCTGATTTCTAAGAAAATATAGATAATTATGAATTATAATTGGATTATGACTTCATTGTGGGATGAAGAGTAATTTAAGTTGGAATGAGGTCCAAGTAAAACAAAATGATACAATCTAATATAAAATAAGAATACACCACTTTAGAATTTGAAATCTAATATGATTAGATGAATGAGTTCATTAAAAAAACTATGTTGAATTCTGCTATTCAAGGATCACATAGAAATCTTTGTGGCTTCGAGAGTATACTTAATCAATCTAAGAGACTTTATGTCATGAAAGAAAAACAATCATATACTCAAAGGTATTTAACTATACGTAAGGTAAAGTCAAATATAAAGATGATAGTATTCGCAGAATTCACAAAGATTAAGTTTAGTTGAACCCATTAATAAAGTCCTTCTTTTGAGCTAAGTATGAATGGCCACACTTTAGCTATAAGACTTTATTATTCTAGAAATGGGATTTTGATTTGGATTTAGTATTTGGATATTGGAACATTATAACAACTATTATATAATGTTTTGATATATTGGGATATGATCATAATGTCAATACTTGTTGTGTTCTATATTAACATGTTTAATACATGAATAATCTTATTATTCTAAAGGTTCATAGCAGGTTATAAATGTGGGTGCAATTATGAAGTAAGACTATATGAATTAGATTGGTTGACTTTCACCATATGAAATTAGGCAATGGGTTGTAACCAAGTTTTATAGGTACTTGTTAGAGAACTAGTATTGAATTTACATGCATCAAGATCATCTTATGGATCGCTATCATGAATGATACTTGATTAAAAGGTATTGTCTTTGTATCCTTAACACTTGCAATACATAGTGGGACTTAAGTGTAAGGAGTGTTGTGCTTTGATATGGTCAAATGTTGCTTAGTTATAAAAGCCATTTTTAGGTATAATGTGAACTATGAAAGAGGCTTATGTAGTCAATATGGGATTTGTTCCTCTTATGTGTTGAGAGTTAGACATCTAAGACGCCTTACCAAAAGTTGAACACCCAATGAGATTGATCGCGATCCGTATGTCATGTTCAATATGATGTCTGTGACAACGGGATAACCGATAAACTTACCTTATACACCAATTGTAGCTTTGAGTCTCTGGAGAATTAGGTGTTGATAGAATGTCACAAAGTCATATGTTGATGGGGCAGTAAAATATTGCTAGACGTTCACCACTAATATCAGTTTAATATGAGTCTTGCGCAAGTGGGAGATTGAAATATCTAGTTGCTCAAGAGTCATATTAAAATGATATTACTAACTAACATATGATCTTAAAGGTTCCAACAACAACTTGATACTATTGATTATTTATTAGAAATTGATTCTACTAAATATTCAATAAACTCTTATAATTAACCAGAAATTATTTAATTCATGGAAATATTAATTTTCATTAGCAAGTAACATAATATATATCATATGGTATGATTTATTAAGTCATGTACATTATTTTAGACTAGTAAGACTTTTATCTTTTAACCAAAAACCAAAGTTTATATTTTATAAAAGAAGTTTACAAAATTTATAAACTTTTGTCTTCTTTTATATCTTTATAAGAATGAATAAAAGAAGCATGACCTTTTCATTATTTTAAGTAAAAGAAAACATGGCTTAAAGGTATGCGGAACATTAGGGCATGTAGGTCTTAAAAATGTTAAGACCTTAAGGGTATTACCTTTGTTTTAATACCATAACATGGGGCTTTCCTTTTGGCATGCTTAAGGCATGAAAAAACTGTAGCTCCTCCAACTTTTTCTTATTCTTCTCTTTCAAAGTGTTGGAGGTTATTTGTTGCTTGAATTTTTTCTCTCTTTAAGTCATATTTTGGTGTGCACTTAAAACTTAAGAGCTTAAGAGTTTAATGACTAGCATCATCATCAAGTTGGATTATTGTTGGTGTCCACAAAGGAAAGAGTTCTACTCACATTCTACATCAACTTCCTAACCTCCCATTGAGGATTCAAAGGCTACATAGGTTTTTATGTTTTTCTTCTTCTTAGGTTGTTGTTATCTTTCCAAACTTTGCAAGAAGATCCTTGGTGGGTTATAAATTTGTTTATGTTCTTTCGAAATCTCAAGTCTTCTTTTTGCCAAATTTTCTAGTTTATGAAACTAATTTTGAAATAAAACCCAATAAAGAGTGCATTCATATGCTCTCTTTGAATCATGCAAGAAAATCTTAGTTTTTTTGGCTTGTTTTAGATCTAGGGTTTATGTTAGGGACTTGCATGGCCATAATGTTTAGAATTATATCCACTAAGAACCTACCTAGATGGTTTTTGGAAAGTTATAGACACTAACTTAACGGATTAAGCACTTAATAAGAAGTGGTTGTTTTGCCAAAGAAGCTGGACACAACCAAGGCTTGGTCGTGACACAAAAGTTGGTCTGGTTCGCTACTATTTTGGATTGTAGTGGTCGCAATGTGTTTATTGTTGAACGTTGACTTTTTGGCCGGTTTTACTTTTGGTCAACCTTTTATTGACATGGAGTTTTGGATTGATGTTTAACCTCTTGGTGGTAATGGTTAATGAAATGCGCTAATGGTGAATTTAGGTGGCTTGTGCTAGTCGGTTTGTTTGAGGAGTCTTGCGTGTAATACTTGGACTTCTAGATCCACGTGAGTTTTCTTATTATATTATGTGTGACATTATATGTCTTGTGTGTGGTATGATGCTTGTGTACTGTTAGTGTACATATATGTGATTAGACTAGAGTAGTCGTTTGTTATGGTATGTGACATGTTAAAGGGGGTGAATGGATTATAGTTGGGAGCCTGCAGGTCAGATGGGATGATGGTTGTGTATCTACAGGCCCACTGAGGTGTTGGTTATGAGCTTTTAGGCTCAAATGGAATTATGGTTAGGAATCTACAAGTCTGTTAGGACGATGGTTGTAAGCCTATATGTCTACTAACGTGTTGGATGTGAGCTTATAGTTGGTATGCAATGTGTGTGCATGTGATGAAAGATGTGGTATACTAAGGAATTCACGAAGTTTTGTACTTACTTGCTATGTTTTTTTTTTTTCGAGGTGGTTGTTACAGGTGAGAAAGGGAAGAGCGCGACGTGACTGTACTCTTATTTTGTTAATGATTTTGAGACTTTCACTTAACGGATTATGTTTTTATGATATTTGAAACCCAATGGATATTCATGTTACTTTTAAGAGAATGGTTTTGGTTGTTTAAATTATGCTTAAAAAGAAAATTTGGTCGAAAATTTGAGACATTACAAAATTGATCGATGTCAGTGTTATTTTGTAGTTTGATGAGCAATGATTCTTCCATTTTCAACCAATAGCAGTGAACCTTGTCATGATACACCACTGATTGTGTAATGCTTCAAGCATTCCCAGGGCCAACTTATTTATGTCTACTCATTCGATATAATTAACAATAGGTTTAATGTAAAAACATTATGGGGAAAATGTGAAATAACCCACATGAACGACTATGATGATGAAATACATGGCATTGTAAAAACCATAAAGCTCAAATGGAGGTGTTACTGTCCTTGAGTCTCAAATATGTCATTGTTGCTTTCTTGTTGTCATTTTCTCAAAGAATGCAACATGATACCGTTTTTGTGTTTGCAATCAAATTTGGAGGGAATTTGTGGGTAAGAAAGTTAAAATTGCAAACTTATTTATAGGCTAATCCAGGATAATAAAAAGTCTTTGGAGTTAATTGGTTGGATAATAAAAAGACTTTGAATTTTAATGATTTTTTTTTCCACATAATTGTTTTCACATTGCAGGTTTCAAGATGTGATGGTGGTTGTGTTTGTGTTGTTGTGGAGATTCTTATGCCAAAGTGTCTTGTGTATAAATTACAGTTTTTACAAAAATAGTCAATGTATAACATTTTTTTTGTTTATGTGGTATAAGGCAATATTGTTACTTTTAAAAGATTTAACACCCATTCGGTTAGCCTTGTTAAGTCCGAGGACCGATGGTGTTACCAAACAGTGCAAGTGCAATAGGGACCATCCAATCATCCATGATCAAATCATAATACAAATGCAATAACCATAATAACTGTATATAAAAAAAAAAAAAAACCTAACCAAATCATATGTTAAATTATTTCTATAAGTTATGTTTAATATTCTCAATTTACAATAAATAAACTCTAATTAACCGGATCATATGTTAAAGTTAATATAAACGAAAGGTAAGATTTCAATCAACATCATAAACAAGTTTATAATGATGCCTTGTGAACTTGTGCTATATCAACACCGGTTTCCGAAACCTCATTTTTCATTTTTAATATTTTTGAAACCATAAATTCTTTACACTTGGACACCGAATCAATCAATGCCAATAACTCATCACCACACATTTCAACTTCTTCTTCATTTCGCATCATTGTTTCCTTTAACTTCACTTTTGAACTCTTCACAAATGCATAACACACATTATTGTTTATTTCAAATAATTAACATAAAAGTAAATAAATGAATTGAGGAATTACCCTAACAAGTTCACGAGCTTCTTTTTCAACAACATCCACTTTATGAGACTCGACCTCAAATTTCTCTACCAATTTCCGAGCTTCCATAGCACATTGTGAGTTGTAATCTTGTGTTTCTTTCTTTATCAAGTTTATTCGTGTTTCCACTTGATCAATAATAAAAATGCACTTACATTTCCTCAATGATCGCAATATGCAACAAGTTATTCTCCACAATCAAACATTCCCAAATGTTTTCAAAAAAAAGTACTTATAAACAGCAATAGTTGGGACTTACTTCCTCAATTCGTGATTTTAGTACAAGAATACGATTTCTTTTTGCATCAATCTTTGCATTAATGTCACGGGATGATTGTTGAAGATATTTCAAACTTTCAAGATTTTCCATTGAACTTCTCTTTACATCATCACTAGCAGACTTTAGTGCAGGTTTCAGTGTTGACTTATAATCCATCCCAAGAACCTCAACAGGTGTTAACCCTTTTGCATTCAGATCATATTGGAAGCCATTTCCTAGTTTCAACCTAAAAGAAACCAGAAATATCAATAAGGTTGTGATAATTGATAAAGATCATTCATATTTCAAAAAAAGTGTACCTCTGTATAGTATGGTTGCATTCAATCTGAAGTGCTTCGAGCTCCTTTAAGTTTGTCCCCATGGCAGCATCAAGATCCCAATACGTTTCCTCCCATTTGTTCCTTTCAATCTCTGCCTCTTCAATATCTCTTTCCACTGATTGTAACTCTCTCTTCAACCTCTCTGCTTCTCTCATATTCATACCCTGTTCTTCCACTTTCTTCTTCATCTCTTCATTCTCCTCACACATCCTAATCCTCTCCTCTGTTTTAATTCTCAATTCCTTCTCTTTTTCTTCCATTAGCTTCTCCATAGCCACAACATGTGTCTGCAACTGTTCGATTAATTCATTGAACTTCTTAATATCCTTTTCCAGCATCCTCTGTTCCTCCTCTTTTGATTCCCTCAGTGATGGCCCAGACTTTATTGACTCTAGCTTTGCCTCCAAATCCTTCACATTTTCCAATTTCATCTTTATATTCTCCTCCAGAAAGCTTTTCTCCTGTTATCAACGTTTTAGGAACCCAAATCAACGACCTTTTATTAGGTATTTTGATTAAACGAAGAAAACTGACATTATTACCTGTTGTAACTTCTCCATGATATTTTCATCATCGTATCCCCTTAAGCAATCCATGTAAGTATTCAGAGTATAATAGAACAGACTGTCTCCCGAAATTGACTGTGATTGAATGGAATTTACAAGGTGCTCGTTGTACAATGCAATCTGTACAAGCCAATGAAGAATCGCTAAAACAGTAGGAAACACGTGATCAGTTCCTGGGGATTTTAAGGCCGACTTGCTAATCTTAATCGGGCAATTCAAGTATTTCAAAACCATAAGCAAATCATCCTCCATCTTATTACTAGGCAGATAATCGAGACGCGCGAGAACGAATTTTAGGGTGTCGTTGATGTCTTTGCTGGTTGGGAGAGATTTAAGTTTAAAGGAGATCGGGAAGGAGCGTTCGGAGAGGTAGGAATTGATGGCGGAGATAGCGTGGCTTTGGTTGGAACGGTTTTTAATGACGACGGCGGAGGATGAACGGCGGTAATTAACGCCAGCAGAGTAGCAAGAAGAGGGACGGCTACCGGAGAAAATACCCTCAGAATCTCGGCAGGTTCCTCCGCCGCCGACATTGAACTTCAATGGATCTACAGGTGTTGGAGTCGAGAGGCGGTGGTCGGGTACAAAGCCCTCCGTTAGAGGGTGGCGTCCGGTGGGGCCTCTCATTTGATCACTTTTCTGAAATCGTTTTTTTTTCCCGCCCTGGAGATTTTTGAATTAGTTGATACCGGCAAGGTATAAATAGCCACGATTCTGTGTAAATATGATTACGATAATAAGTAATAACATATATATGGTAACAAATAATATAAAGTTACAAAAAAAGTATATTGGTTGTTAAGATCTCGTATTGTTCTTAAAATGTTAAGATGTTAGTAGAAATGATGTAGATACGAGAAAAAAAAAATTCATAGTATCCTTGATTAGGATTTTAAAATCTTAACTTGATTTGGATCTCACATCTTTGGTCTTTATCTAAACCTCAAAAATTCATCCATTGAACTTGAAATCCAAAATCTTAGATTGCAAAAGGTCTTATACAACATCATTATTTCATTAAGCTTATTTCAAATTAAGTAGTGTATTGTTACAGCCATATAATTTCATTGTGATCTAATGCTTTAGTATCACCATTTCTACTAAAGATGTTTTCTTTGCGGTATGCAACAACAATATGTATGGTTAATGCACCAAAAATTAAAGTTAATCCCACCACCAATGTCTTGATCAAAATGCATAAGCTATGATGGGTACCACACAAACAATACCTTGTGAGAAAATTTGGAAACTAGTTTTGTAGGATCTTCCAATCATGATCTTGCAAAATGAAAAACGATTTTAAAATAAGATCTCGATCTTGAAACTTGAAAAAGGTCATTAAACTAAATGAGTGTTGTGAAAATGTAATCGTTTTTTAAGCGGCCATTATAACCGGTAGTAATAGGTTTTCTAGGTTTTTGAAGTCACGGTAGCATGTGACATGTCTAGACGGAAACATTTGGGTAGGGTGATAATTCTCGATACGACACGAAAGATAACACGAACTCAACACGCAAATGAACAAATATAGGTCGGAGATTGCAACCCGATTAATTAAATGAGTAATGTTAGGGCCCAAACTTTCAACATTAAAATGATCCATTTATGTATATGAAATTTCTTTTACTCTTTTAGTTAAACTAAACATGCCCAAAACAAAAAATAATTTTTTTTTTGGGTTTAATCGTTTTGTAATGTGGAAGCTGCTAATTAGCCGCCCACTTGATATTTATTTTTTGTTTTCACCTTTTTATTAGTATTCTATGCATCACAATCCCATTCCCCCCTTCCCCTCCGAAACTACTCCTCCTCCATGTTTTTCACTTTTCATTTTCCACCAATATATTCTTACTCTTTCAACCTACTTAGTATTCTATGTAACACGAAACACCATATTTACATGGTTTAAAACCTACACCTGCCAATCCTACGATAATAAACGGGTTCACATGACATGATACGATAATTAAACGATTTGGGTTATGGTCAAACTATCTCAACACATTTAAGTTTTAACCCTACACGAACACGAAACAAGATGACTATGTTTGGGCCATGGTGGGATTACCATTAGTTTTTTTCATAAACTTCAACATTTTTACAGAATTTCTCCTTAGATTGTTAAAACCTTGATGTTCGGTCCTTCTCAATAATGACTTTACATGAATATGTAATGTAGAAAAGGAACTTATTCAATTCAACTTTTAGGTTAGTTTTTGCATACTTTTGTATGCTTATGACTGATTATTATGATTATTTTTGTTTTCATCCGTTTCCACAGGAATATAAACATTGTAGTGGTCATTCAAAGTTCGGGTGATTTGCTTTGTATGCAATATGTTTTTTTGTACTATCAACCAATATATCATTTATGAAGTGACAACACTTTTTTTGTTGGCATGTGGATGATGGGACATAGTTGTGTGTTAAGTGTAGGGTTGTAAATGAAGAAGAAGAACACGAACAATGGTTTGTTCATGTTTGTTCGTTTAAGTTAGCAGAACAAACAAACGAATACGAAAAGATAAATGAAAGATTTTTCTTGTTAATGTTCGTTCGTTTATCTTTATGAGCATGCTAAACGAACATAAACGAACAAAGATAAACAAAACACAATTAAATATATATGAACATAAACAAACATAAACAAACATATAATATAGTAATATAATAAAAAACAATTGAACATAGATGAAAATAAACGAACGAACATAAGCAAACATAAATGAGCGAACGAGATCATTGTTCAATTTCGTTCTTTTAATTAAATGAATGACAACTTGTGTTCATGTTCATTCATTTATTAAATAAATGAACATAAACGAACTTCCCCTCTAACAGTTCATGAATGGTTCACCAAATGTTCGGTTCGTTTACAACCATAGTTAAGTGTGCTCGTCCACAAACTTAAAAACTTGAAAAAGTTATTTAATTTTATCTTTTTTGTAGATTTGATACTTCATTTACAATCTTTAGCACGACAATCTTCTCAAATTTGTCTTTTGCATATTTATTGGTTATAATCCGAAATCCCTCCTCACCAAATTCCATTCCCAATGATAGCTTAATATTTTCTTTGGTTTTAAACAATTGAAACAATTTGATATGTGATGAGGTATTTGAGGTTATCGATGATCTTTGTTTGTGTGATGAATAAAATACATAAAAATAAAATGAAAAATTATTCTTTTTGGGATATTAGGACTCATTATTATCGTTATCAGATTTAGTTTCATTTGAACCCAATATACACTTCATCTTTTCTATTGGTTTTCCATGAAGAAATATTGTTTGAATCATCAACCAACAATATCAAGTATGCATAATCATTTGTTGATTAATTAGCATCATATGCAAGATCATCATCATCGACTTCCTTAACTTTACACTTACCATCAACCACATGTACATATGACTCCACCTGTGTCTGTGTAATACCGTAAAATTCAAAACAAATTTTTGAATTTTTATAAAGACATAATTCCATCAATATTCATCAAACAACCATTTTAATTATCCAAAATAGGTCAATACAAAATCCCAAGATCACAATGTAAAACTCCGAGCGTGTGTGTGTACGGATCAAGCCGGCGCCTTCCCGCGATCGTCACTAGTACCTGAAACAATAACATCAACCACTGTAAGCACAAGGCTTAGTGAGTTCCCCAAAATACCACATATAACACATATTATCCACTCGAGGCTATAACTCTGTGGGTTCGTGCACCCAAACTCTGTGAACCCTCAGGTTCTAGCTCTGATAAACATGCACTACATAAATCACATAGAAATAATGCAGTACAACACATAACATACATAGCATACAATACTCTGTCACATAACTCAGGTTACCTACTCAAGGTAATATAGTATAGTGAGAAGACTCACCTCGCGTATCTCGGTATCTCACGAATCCTGGAAATCCCTCGTGCTTGATCCTCCGAGCTCTAATCCTCCTATAACATTATATGCTTCTAATTAACACTTTGTATCTCTAAGGTTGACTATTTATAAGGAGTCAACACAGGTCAACTCTGGTCAACGGTCAACGGTCAACTCTGACCGGACTCGGCGAGTACCAAGGAGACTCGGCGAGTCTAGACATTTTCACCACTCTCTGAAATCCTCTTACTACACGTCGAGTATCCCCCCTTTTACTCGACAAGTTTCACCTGAATGAATCGCGGGGCCACCCCGACTCAACTCGCCGAGTCTCAAGGACAACTCGGCGAGTCCAGGTTTGACTCAGTCCACTCGTCACCCCCTCCAACTCACCCTGACTCACTGAGTCTACCCATGACTCGATTTGGACCACTCGCAGAGCAGTCCCAAGGCAATCTTCAAGCTACTCGCCGAGTCGGATGAACAGACTCAGCGAGTCCATGCCATGCAACCACTCCAACTCGCTTCTAAGGTCAGATCTGCTTCCAAAAACTATAGATCTGGCCTCCCTTGACTGATTCATCACGTAAAGCTCCTATCTTGGTGCTCATAACACACCCTATAACTCAATAATGGCGTTTTTGACCCAAGGCATGAGGATTCCAATCCAAAGCCTTCATTGATCCCAAAAAGCTTTGGGTAAAGGGACTCTCTGGACCTTTAAGGGTCCAGATCTATGGTTCCATCCTCATAAGGGGCCAAAAGGGCACCAAATCTAGCCATTAAAGGGTTTAACAAACCCTAAATCTAAATAAACAACAACAAACAAGAAGGTAATTCGGATTTATTACCACAAAATGATGCTCTGGACTCCTAACCCACAGAAATGGCTCCTTCTTGCTTCCCCTTTGGCTAGCTCTTCTCTTCCTTGCAAAAATGGCACCTCCAAGGTCAATAATGGCCTCCTACTTAGCTTCAAGTGCTCACACACGATTAGGGTTTCACTCAAGGGGATGGTGGGCACAAATGACGGCCATTAGGCCCTTTAAATAAGTCTCAAACCCGAGAATTTAGGGTTTCATTACTCAGCGCAGACTCGCCGAGTCCATATCCTGGACTCGCCGAGTCCAGGCGCGATCCTTCGTCCAAATCCGCGTCTCTACTCGGCGAGTCTGAGCTCCAACTCACCGAGTCCCCCTCACAAATCAACAAAATACAATTTACACGATACCTGATAAAAGTCCGGATGTTACAGTCTGTATAACTCAAATTCATAGCCTCGTAGGTAACAGGTAATATATTAGATATTTGATTAATTTAGGCGCATGATGACCCATTGCCATCGAAACGGTTTTCCCCAAGAAATTAATTTATAATAGGAGTTTGTAGAAGTGTAAGTGATCGGTTAACACCACTTTCGACAACATGTTTCACAAGAAACAATTCTACTGTGTTCAACAAAATATTGCTAATACTATTAAGCAAATATTTACATTATTGTCGTCAATAATTTGTGTAACAAGGTTTGATCCCTGACATTGAAAAGACAAAAATATAATTAGTATATAAATTGGACTTCAAAGCCACCAAGTTAACCGACCTAGAAAAATTGATATAATAGGTTAAATCCACACAATAATATGTGTAATTTGATGCCATGTGTTGCATAAAACCCTCTATTCGCTCCCACCACCCTCTACTACAAACAAGGACTCTAATTATTAGATTATATGAATTCATTTTCA